CAGACATATCACTTTGTTTCTCAAGCTGGGGCATGAATGTCTCTTAGGGGTAGTTTGTATATGCAAAACCACAGAATTTAAATGATACCAATATTTGGAAGTGTCAGTTTACTTTGAATACTTTACGTAGAGCAATATTTTTACTTTAAAACAAGGCTAATTTTTAAAGTGTGAAGTTTGTATGAATTTTAAAGTTAAGAGTCCTTTGGGCTTGAGTTATAGAAATGTGGAATTATCATAGCTTATTTCTACCCAATGCCGAGAAAAGAAGTTCTTAGAATATGTAGTGTTAAGTGTTTGAAACCGCTGTGTGAAAGTTTGACATGGATAGTTTTCAAAGAATTTATTCTAAAATATCACTTGAGATCCATATACAGTACACACTTCTTGTGTACCTATGATAGATAAAAGTATATATTTTTCTCAATCAGCAACTACCCATTTTACACACAAGCACAATTTTCACTTGTCTGCAGTATTACAGTGGTACAATTGATTTCTAATATATTGGATTGAGAAAATTAACTTGGCATGTCAATTCTCAACAAGTACAAAAAATCTAGAAGACTTGTAGATGTCACCTGGTTATTAAAATTTTCTGGTGGTTCAGTGTGTAACATTTTAACTCCAGGGGAGTTTAGTTCTGTACAAAGTGAAGAATGGAATAGAACTGATGGTAAATCTTGTGCCATTCTAGTAATTAGTAATACTGTCTAATAGTACAAAGTTATTTTGAAAAAAAAATTCAAGCCAGACATGATGACACATTCCTAGGGTCCCAGCTTGGGAGGCTAAGAAAGGAGGGTTATGAGACCAAGTTTCAAGACAATCCAGGGCATTGTAAGGAGAACCTGTTAACAACAACCAAAAACCCCGTAAACCTTAGAAAATTCCATAAAAACCAATAGAAGTCTGTTTTGCTGCTAACACAAATACAAACATTTCACTTTCTGTAGTCAATTAAAATTTGTAACAGTTTTTTGGTCCCTTATATACCAACAATAAGAAACCAGAAGGAATGAATGTCTAAGCCCTATGGTCACAGAAATTTTAAACATTTTAAATATATAAATAATAGATTTTCAAGTTTTAAATGGGAAACATTGCTGTGTGGCAGTGAAATTCAAAGAAATAAAATTTATTACTAAAGCATTGGCTCATGTATAAATGAATGATAGAAGACAGATGCTGTGAGATGTATTTTATGTTAATATTAACATGAAAACAGTATTTAAAATACTTCTGGTAAGTACAGCTTTTATTACCATTTACCTTAAAATACGATGTAAAAAGTAATTAAGGCGAGCTTTAAAATTCAGATAAGGTGTATATATTTAACAAGTTCTCTTAGGGGTGGGAATATAAATACTTGATATTCACTGGTTTTTATGTTCTATTCATCTCTTACATTACTCTCTATCAAATTAGGTTGCTGATTGGTTACTCAATGATGAGCCCTCACTGGTTTAGTCCCTTTCAGACTTGCCTTCATTGAGTTGTCCTTGAAGTTCTATGTTCTTAGCTTTTATTGAAGGTCACTGAAAAAAAATTGAAATCTGCTTAATATTAGTTGTGAGGTTGAATATTTTTATATGTTTTTTCTAGATTTAATGCCAGGGCATTTTTTGTTTCCCTCGTCAATTGTTAGGCTTCCTACTTTCTTACCATAGCTATATATTTAATGTTGCTTTGCTTAGGCCTCTAGAAAAATATCTACATTTAATTATTAGCTTTGGTACTGAGAGTACTCTTTTCAAAAAGACAATTTTTCCTTATCTTTGATTTTTTGTTTTTAAAGTTTAATTATAAATAATCTCCTTTGTGAATATACAAAATAAAAGCCACTTTACATACTTATTAAAAGAGCAGATACCCCCCCCCCCATGCTGAGGATTAAATGCAGGACCATCTTAGTACTGAGCTGCATCCTGAGTTGGGAAGAACAAACTTAAAAAATACACTTGATCTTAGCCAAAAGGCTGAGAAGTAATCAAACTTAAAAAATAAAATTTATATTTTTTTCTCAGTGAGATTGAAGACCTTGAAAAATTAAATACTTTCAACCTAATATACCTATTGTTAAAAATTCATTAAATTCTCATTGAAATTAAAACTTGTACCAATATTTTTCAAAATTTGAAAATTTTTAGTTCTAATTGCAGTGAGTATTTGCCAGTTTGCATTTTGTAATACAAATAAAAGCTTCACTTTTTTACATTGAAAGAAGATTTCAGGTACATGAATTACTTTTTTTTTCAGCTTTAATTGAGTTTATTGGTACATTTTAGGGATACAGTACAATTACATTCATTGTTGGGATCTTGTACTGCTATGAATGACTTTTTAACTCCCAAGTTTATGGTAGGTTGATAGTTTTAAAAACTTAGGCACGCAACTGGGCATGAATTAACAGTGACTGGCAGTTCTCAGGAAAGTGATAATTTATTGTTTTTATGACAGCTTCTGGGAAAACTGGTTAGTCCAGCTTTACAACTTACTCAACTTTGCATGATACTGTTTTGGGATCCACATTAATCAGTAAAAAATTATTTCTGTCAAGCTTGTCGGCTGGCTAAAAGAAAAATACTGAAACCTAAGTAAGATTAAGAGGAAAAATAGGGCACCATACTCTTGAATTTATGTCTTATTCTGTGCCAGTGGAGAATGAACTGTCTCACTAGACAACAGAAATTATGTATCTTAACTTAGCCAGCTTTTCTTCCTTAGGTTTCTTTATTGCTCCCAAACCAGAAGTTAATGCAAAAAACATCAGGCTTACCCATTGCAGTATTAATAGTTTTACTCTTCCAGCAGTTTTCCCAGTTTAAAATAATCCCTGCTGCCTTCAGTTAGTTTTTGCAACTGATAACTTTGTGCTTGAATAAATCTGCTCAAATAGGTGTAATATACATCTATGATAACACCTATGTTCTAGTATCAGAATAACAGATTCTTTAATAAAGAATAAAAATATTAATGGAGTCAGTCTTGGTGGCACATGGTGGTAATTCCAGCACTTGGGGAGGCTGAGGCAGGAGGATCACAAGTTTGAGCCCAGGGGTGAGACTTTGTCTCAGGGATTTAGCTTAGTTTGAAAGCCCTGGGTTCAATCCCCAGATATAGATAGATAGATAGATAGACATATACACACACATTTATGATAATACCTAATTAGTTAACAGCACCTTTACAGAGGCATTTATGTGGTGGTGGTGGTGGTTTTTCTTTTTTTCTGTTTTTTTTTTTGGTACTGGGGGTCAACTCTGGACCTTGCACTGTGAGACAGGTGGCAGAACTACTGAGCTAAATCCCCAGCCCTATGCTGTTTTTTATAATTCAGAATTGACTGTAGGTTGGATGATTTCATTAAAGGCCTCAGAATGCTAGATATCCTTAAGTTGGACATGTCTAAACCTGTGCAGCACAAAATTTCCAGGGGAGCTTTTAAAAATGGACACTGTTAGCATCCTTAGGTGGTTATTTTGAAGCCTGTCACTTAAATTTGTACATTTATGAAATATTTTTTGAAAACCCATAAAGGTAAATATCAAAGAAATAGTACTGTTAGACTCATAATAGTACATATAGAAGATTTTTAAAAGGGGGGCTGGGGATTTAGCTCTGGTGCCGCTGCCTGCCTCTGGAGGACAAGGGACCTGAGTTCGATCTCCGGTAACTTAAAAAAAAAAAAATGGGTAAAGGGATAGTAAGAGGAGATTTAATAGGGGATCCAAATAATACTGTAATTGTAATAATTGCCAGATTAATACAACGTTTACCTTTCTAGACATACTAATGTTGTTTAGGCGAAGATTCCAAACTCCATGCCCATAGGGCCAAGAGTAATGTAAATATGAGTTGTTGCAGAATGTTTCAGGAGAGCCTGACTTAGTGGGCAGCCACTGCTGATCAGTCATGGCCTATTGTTGCCAAACTAAGCTCGGCGTCCCTACATCTCAGTCTCTGACAGAGCTAGCATTATGTGACACTTTTAGATGCTGTCTTCATTACTAAAGGTATAAACGCGAACAACAGGTCTATTGTCAGGGTTGGTCCACCTACCACCAGTCACCAGTCTTCGTTTTGGAGCAGTCATCTCCAAGTGTGGTCCCTACATCAGCAGCATCAACATCATGGGAGACGAAAGAATGGCAAATTCCAGGGGGCTGCACCTCAGCTCTACTGAAGAAGAATCCCTGGGGGTGAGGCCCAG